GAAAGCTCTGAATTAGCACGCTCGACTAGAATCGCTGCAGTACACTGAAGCTCACGTCACTGCGGATCCGAATGAGGCCACCAACGTCTTCCAGTTTCACGGCTTTCCACCATATGCCAATTTCTTGAACAATCGCGCATGGTTTCGACGAGTCAGCGAACAACAAGCGCCGGATACCGAGGTGATCGCTCGCAATGTACAAGCTGTCGATGGATGTTGAGAGACTTGGGTCAAACAAAAGGAAATCCCGGTTGCCACCAGGCGTGTTCCACAGATGGCCGATGTACTGAACACCCTCGAATTCAACGTGCTTAGCATAGATCTTCTCCGAAAATTGGATAGAAGTGTTGCCCTCGGTCTCCGCACATGCTTGGTTGGCAAAATGAACAGCCAAGTGGTGACAAGTCGATCGATCGTGAAGAGCCCATGCTGCGATGTTAGAAAGCACTTCTCTGGGCAAACTTGAGATGTGGCGACTAGCTGTTCGAATGAGATCAGCTAGATGGAACTGAAACCAGCGAATACGCCATTGATTCGCAATGGCTGGAGGCTCGAATGCATGTGCTACAGCATCAAGAATATTTCTTAATGTTTCCGGAGACGTAACTTCGACGCAGATAACATGGCACCCAATCCGTTGCTCATCATGGTCGCATCGTCCACGACACTGGACATATTCGACATCCAGAGTGCTATCGATAAAACCACCGATGCTATACTTGTACGATGGAGAAGTGTCCCTATCGAATCGCCGTACTAAGGGAGTCAGAGGACTGGGACTGAAAAGGGTGTGGAAGACTTGCCTGCTACTATGTCATCTCCAAGGTGGAGTTCAAAGCGACAAAGTCCGCAGAGCCGTGGTACACAAATAGATCTCGTCATGGCGTTGACTGGCGGATGATGAACGCTTGATTGAGGTAAAAGACCTCGTATGGGATGATTTGTTCAATACGGAGTCAGCTGGTGGCTTGACTGTAAGCCTCTTCAAAATGTCTTGCCGGGTCGGCTGACAGAGCCTGGGATCCATACTCCAGCTTGGGTGAAACTCACCGTATACGTTCATTACTCGGTTAATCGCATAGTCGAGCCAGCATTGCTCTACAAGGGATGGTTTCCACTCGTTTATATAGATCTACTGCAGGCCTAGCGGTTACTCTAAGCAGTACGACCATACTTATCCCCCTTGCCCGAATATTGCTCTTCTGGTACTATTGCATTGTTTCGGGGCTTAGGCGTCCCTGGTGGGATAGTTGACATTGTCTTTTAGAATACCACCACTCCAGGTCACCGCACCAATCCACCCGAAACCAGTTTTCGCCTTTCGATAGGGATGGTGCTTCCCGTGACTGCTCGATACCAGATACGATAGGCCCATCGCTCGTTAGAGAGAATTTGAACCACATCTTACAATCACGATCAACGCAAATAGGGTTCTGCAGTTGATCTAGCCTTATTTGTCCGACACATGCTTGCTGTCCGTCAATATA